CTTCTACCCACGACCCGTCGACGACCCACGAACCCGCAACCAGCACGTGAATCAACGCTTCGGTGACCCGTTTTGTGATTCCAAAGCGAGCAAAAGTATTCCGACGCATTTTGGCATTTACCCATACCAAATTGGAGCTCGATTCGTGATACCCATCCTTGTTCGAAGCTAGATTTAAGTTACCCATTACTTTTCGGTATCAAACCAGCAAGCTCGAAGCTTCTCGAACCCGGATTCGGCAGCTCAAGCCTCCTCGGCGTCGACCCACTCCTTACCCAAGAGGTTTTATGGTGAGATAGTAGGTAACGGATCATCTAAACTCACTTTCGATGCAAACTAAGTGTTTCTAACATGAATTCTAATCAAGTTTCGTTTGCTTTTGGATTTAGGAACCCTTCGGTGAACTTGGTAGCGCATTAGAACTTTGTTGTAAGTAGTTTCTTACTGGAGGGATTGGTTGTTGTGTGCTGATATGATATGGTTGTTTGCTCGTGTGCCCGTGTGTGATACTTGCATGTCGCTTGTCGTTGTTATCATTTAGTAAACGTCATTGTTGATAAAACTGTTGATATATCTTGGGAAAAGTATGTGGTTGTGTAAATAAATTGTAGCCAGGTAATCCTGGATGACTATGATTGAATTGCTATTATCTTCTAATTGGTTTTCATGATGAAATTTGTATACCGGTATTATAATCTGTTGTTTCGAAAGCGTATTGAATAGTTATGAGAAATCGGTTGTGTTTGATGTATGGTGGGTATTTATCAATTATATTTTGGTTAAGTGGTTGATTGTGCTTTTTCTATGAACGATGCCTGCTGGAGCTGTTGGATCATGTTGGACTATTTTAGATTGATTGGCTTTTACATATGATCATTTTGGTGTATCGCATATTGGACTGTTATGAGATTGTTGATGCATGAGGCATGGCGTAGTAGCAAGTAGGACTCTTATGAGAATTTTGGGACATAACAAAGTAAGTAGCACGGGGGCGGGTGTGTGCGTTGATGTGTGTTAATAGAAATTGTTCTTGCTGATTTTACATTATAAACATGTTCCTCTTATTATTTTAATTGTTGGACAGGTTTGTGAGGTCGATGTTGTTATTGTAACTTGCGGTTATTTTATATATTGGATATGTATATGACTGGTATTCATGTTTGTTGTCTGCAACTTTAGGAACTTACTGATATTGTATGGTTGGTTGGAAGTGATTAGGATTTGTTATGTTGTGAAAAGCATGTTATGTGAAGAATGTCACAAGGTTGTTTGTTGAAGCTTTGTGTGCGCTATGCTGTGAGCAGGTTAGTTGTTGTCAAACTTTGTGTCATTGAGACTCGTGATGCATTGAAATCTTACTAGTGGTTGCGTTGTTGTTGGGCTTTGTGGTGGTTGGTGTTATTAGGGAAGTAGTACTGAAATCCTGGTTGGAGGGTAGAAATGATATGTGGAGTTATGAAAGTTACGAAGTGAATGAGTGAGTGTCAATGTCTCGGGTATAAATGGTCGAGGGTTGATACGTCACTAATTGGGTATCGAGGCCTCGGGTATAAATGGTCAGGGGTCGATACGCCAATATTGGATAAAGATGAGCGTCGAGGCCTTGGGTATAAATGGTCGGGGGTCGATACAGGGTTCAAGGCCTCGGGCATAAATGGTCGAGGGCCGATGCTGCAGAGTCGGGGCTCTGGGTATAAATGGTCAGGGCCCGACTCTGCTCGAAGGAGTTAACTGTGGAAGGCTAGAGTAGCTGTGATAAGCGTAGAGGTACTTGAGATGTTAGGGAGACTAGAGGTTGGTAGTTAATGTGTTACTGGTTGTGGTTGTCACCGAAGTTTATGGAATGTGTCTATGTTTGAATGCATAATGTGATGAAAAGCATGACTGTGAATGTTTCGTGATTTGATTGAGCATGATGTGTGTGTGTTGATTCTTTAATAAGCATGACACGTTGTTCTTTGATAAGTATGCTGTTTGTGCGTGACCCTTCAAATAAGGGCTGCTTACTGAGTACTGTGGTTGTACTCATCCCTCTTTTTCCCCCCTCCAGTTCGCAGGTATCGAGCTAGCTCTTGGGATGGTGATGGCGAGAAGGAGGCTTGATCGGAAAGACCATTAGCTATGCTGTGTGCAATTAAATTTCTTTTAGTTAGGATAGTTGTGGCCATTTAATGTTGTAGTTGAGTTGGTAGTGGTTGGTTTTGTTTAGTTTTATTGTCTAAAGGATGTCGTAAGGTTGCCGATTCATTGTTTTTTTAGAGCATTAATTTTGTTAGCCTCTTGAACTACGGGATTGTAATCCACTTAGGATATTTATGAATACATTTGTTTAAGTTAATCGTACTTGAATTAGCTTTTGCTTCATTGCTATTCGAAATGTTAATATTCATTTAGTGGATGGTTTATAGTTAGTAAGGTTTCCTTGAAGGGTTTGGTTAATGTGGAGTCGGTATTAAATGGTTTATCTGTATAGGACGTGAGTTTCTCTTAAAACATTAGTGTTATTGTTCTAATTGTTCAAGCTCTCGTGAGTGTTGGAAATCAGAGTAGCGCAGCAAAAGCGTGGTAGTTTTATTGCTTAGTGTTGTTGTGAAGAAAATTCTCTTGTTTATGTGAAAATTTTAGGTAGGCTTAGTAACGGTCCCTGTTTGGAAATGATGAAATTCCTGGGGCATTACATGTGTAGTCAAAACGTAATATGGCGGTAAGAGGGTATAGTTCCCCTTTGGGTGATATCAAAATAGCCTCTATCCCATGACCTAACTCGTTAGAGCCACCATCAAACATCATGGTCCAAGTTTGTGAGTCTAAACTTTCCTCACTTGCGGTTATGGTGGAGATATACTCATCTGGAAAATCGAACTTCACCGGTACGTAGTCATTTATAGGTTGTTGAGCTAGGTAGTCGGCCAAAGCACTCCCCTTAACGGCCTTTTAAGTCACATAGACAATATCATATTCGGACAAGAGAACCTGCCACCTTGCAATTCGACAAGAGAGACGACTTTTCAAAAATGTTCTTTATGGGGTCCATCTTTGAAATCAGCCATGTGGTATAATACAACATGTATTGTCTTAGACGACGGGCAGCTCAAGCTAGAGCACAACAAGTTTTTTCTACTTGAGAGTATCTAGTCTCGCAATCGGTGAACTTCTTACTTAAATAATATATAGCCTGTTCTTTCCTACCTGAATCATCATGCTACCCCAGTATACATCCCATTGAGTTTTCAGTCACTGTGAGATATAAAATAAGGGGTTGTCCTGGAGTTGGTGGCACAAGAATTGGATGGTCTTGCAAATACTACTTAATCTTATCAAATGTTGCTTGATAATCTTCACTTCATACCCCATCGTTGTTCTTGCGGAGCAATTTAAGAATGGGTTCGCAAGTTGCTGTTAAGTAAGATATGAACCTTGCGAAGTAGTTGAGTCATCCTAGAAATCCTTTGACTTCTTTTTGCTTTTGTTGAGGTGGCATCTCTAAGATTGTTTTGACTTTATCTGGGTCAACTTTAATGCCTTCTTGGCTTACTACAAAACTCAGGAGTTTTCTAGTGGTTGCCCCAATTATGCATTTGTTGGGATTGAGTTTCAATTTGAACTTCCTCAATCGATCAAACAGCTTCCTTAAAATAGTTGTGTGCTCCTCGCCTTGTTTTGTCTTGGCAATCATATTATCCACGTAAACTTCAATTTCTTTATGCGTCAAGTCATGAAAGAGAGTAACCATGGCATGCTGGTAGGTTGCCCCAGCGTTTTTTAGCTTAAATGGCATAACTTTGTAGCAGAAAGTTCCCCATAGCTTAATGAATGTGGTTTTTTCATGATCTTCAGGAGCCATCTTGATTTGATTGTAGCCTGAGAACCCATTCATAAAGGAGAAGGTTGAGAACCCAGCCGTATTATCAACCAACACATCGATATATGAGGAAGCAAGAAGTTGTCTTTTGGACTTGCACGATTCAAGTCTCTATCCACACACATTCTTACCTGTCCATTTTTCTTTGGTACAGGGACAATGTTTGCCACCCACTCAGGGTAATTAGATAACGTAAGGAACCCTACATCAATTTGCTTCCTTACTTCGTCCTTTATCCCGATCAACATATATGGCCTCATATTCCATAACTTCTGCCTCACCAGCTTGAACTCTGGGTTGATTGGCAATTTTTGCACTACAATGTTTGTATCTAAACCAGGCATATCTTGATAGTACCAAGCAAAAACATTAGCATATTCATGAAGTAACTCTGTCAACTTCTTGCGACTCTCTGAAGGCATATTAGTGCTTATTCTAACCTCTTTGGCCTCGGCTTGTGATCCCAAGTTAACTGTCTCGGTTAATTCCTCATGGGGTCCTAACATCTTTTCTTCTTCTTTTAACATTCTTAATAACTCATCAGAGGGCTCATCATTCATTTCCTCACTAGACTCGACGTTGTATATAGATGTATCGAGCTTGTATTTCGAATCATTATCACATTCAATCTCAGTATTACTGCTTAAGATATAATAAGGGAGAAAAGAAAGGAAAAGGAAAGAAATGAATAAATTAGCCCACAGAAATAACAAAGGAAAGAAACAAAGTGAATGAATTTAAACTTTATTGATGTGGAAGAATTATAGACAAATGATACGTCTGGATAGAATACACAGGGGAATAGAAAATTAATTTATTAATTAAGCAAATAAGGGGGAAAAAACAATTACTTTGACTTATTATTTATAAAAGACGGTAGCTCTAACACGCTCCAATTGGTCGCTCGAAACTGTCTGGGCACGGGCAGATAAAAGGTCCGGCTTGCTCTCTTTCTTCTGTCACTGCTGCCACTGCAGAACTCTCATCGTACTCCTGATGGATTATGCCAGCACTCCTGAAAAAGTGGCTGAGAGGTGGAACAGTCCTCCTTGGGTAATCATGCTCCCTATTCTTAAATCTTGCTAGACATTTTGCTTTTTCACGGTTCTACACTCTAGTGATGTCACCTCTATTTGGCTTATACCCTAGCCCGAACCTCCTTTTAGCCATCCTCAGCAGCTTGTCTAAACTCTCATTGTCTCCTTTAAGGACGGCCTCTAAAAGTTGTGGCTTAGGTCTTCTAAACTTCCCATGTAAAGTTGTAGCATTTGCAATTTAGAATTATTGGAATGAATACTCAAAAGCTTCTTCTGCTGCTTCAACGTATGGCATCGAAGCAAGCCTTAAGACTAGAATGTCTTCTTGTCCCGATATGATCACCAACTTTTGGTCAACCACAAATTTAATTTTCTGATGTAGAGTAGACGGAACTGCCCTTGCCGAATGTATCCAAGGTCGCCCCAAAAAAACTATAAACTGATGTAATGTCCATAACCTGAAATGTTATGTCAAAGGTGCAAGGACCTATCTTGATCGGGATCTCAATATCCCCAACAACAACGCTGCGAGCTCCATCGAAAGCTCTTACTATCACATTACAAGGTCTCATATGGGACATATCAACCGGTAACTTCTCTAGCATGGATCTTGGCATTATGTTTAGAAGATCCATTGTCCACAAGGACTTTTGCTATTAGGAAGTTTTTACACTTAACTGAGATGTGGAGAGCTTTGGTATGTCCTGTACCCTCTGATGGTATCTCCGCGTCTGTAAAAGTGATGGAGCTAGATGTCGTTATATTCCCCACAACGTTGCTCAAATTATCCACTATGATGTCTTGTGAAACGAAAGCCTGCTTCAAGGCCTCCAACAATGTATTCTGATGCGCTTCAGAGGATAACAGTAAAGATAATATAGAGATCTTTGCGGGTGTCCGACCTAATTGTTCAATAACTTTGTATTCACTCTGCTTCACTAGCTTTAGAAACTCTTAAGTCTCTTCCTCGGACACGGGTTGTTTAGGACTTGCATCCTTTACAACAATTGCCTCCACAAGTTCATCATAAATATCCTCGTTGAGTTTGGCCTTCCCTTTCTTATCTTCCTCTACCTTCTTCTTATTCTTCTCACTTGCTTTCTCTTTATTCTTTTCACTAGCGGGTCAATTCACGCGCTTTAGTAAGCTATCCAATGTATAACATCTCCCAGTTCGTATCAAACCTCCTACTCTGGTGATATTGTCATGTGAAGGAGATGATACCTCTTGCCCTACAGTTACCTTACACTGATATCTCCAAGGCACTGCTTTGGAACTTTTATACTCGAAAGGAGCTGGGACTGTGATCGTGATTGGTTTCCGATTGCAGTTGGGTGCATCTGGCTTTTCACAGTAAAAGATGGTGAGAGGTTTTGGCTTAAGAGAATCACTTGAGCCTTAGCAACCAAGATATCCTCCACGACATGTATCCCTTTCTTCAGGTGAGATTTTGTAACAGTAAGGACTTTTGAGTCTAACAACTCTTGAACTATCTTTTGAAAACAGTTGCAATGCTCTAGAGAGTGTCCTTTCGCCCCAGCGTGGAACGGGCACGTCAGATTTTCATCATACCCTTTATACTCGCCGCCTAGGAGAATTTCAAATAGCTCCTCCAAAAGGGTTGTAATATCGGCAACCTTACTCTTCGACTTGATTCCTTAGCATTCGATTGTATTTATTTGGACATTCTGATGATTCGGCAGCGGATTCTTACTTACATCAGGCCCATTTTCTTTTTTAAAGTTCAACTAACCTGCCTTGATCAAAGCTTGAACTTTGTATTTCAATGCAGTGCAGTTCGGTAATAATACTATAACACCCCAGGCCCAGGATTCGGAATCCGGTTTCGGCACCTCTCTGCCCCGGCATTACCCTGCGACCTGGCTACGCCTAAAGCAACTAGAAGGTCACCCAACCTAAGATTGCTCCAAGCCAAGAACGCTTAACTTTGAAGTTCTTACGATTGAGCCACCGAAAAGGAAGGTGCACCTTGTTGGTATAGGTACTGACTATCAATTCATTTTAACCCTTTATTGACCATTCTTCAATAATCGCAGGATCCCTCTCATTCGGATGTGGTATCGGTTCATTCATGTACCTCTTCTCTCGGGCGTCACATGCCCACTAGCTTCCGCTTTGGTTCGTCCCCGAACCACATCTTACTGGGAGAGGTTCTGCTCTGATTCCATC